TGCATGGGGTTGTTGTGACTCAAGTGCAGGACCCGGCACTTGGCCTTGTTGAACCTCATACAGTTGGCCTCGGCCCATCGATCCAGCCTGTCCAGGTCCCTCTGCAGAGCCCTCCACCCCTCGAGCAGATCAACACTGCCACCCAGTTTGGTGTCATCTGCAAATCTACTGAGGGCATACTCAATCCCCTCATCCAGGTCATTGATAAAGATATGAAACATGACTGGCCCTAGGACTGAGCCCTGGGGGACACCGCTTGTGACCGGCCGCCAACTGGATTTAGCTCCATTCACCACAACTCTCTGGGCTTGGCCATCCAGCCAGTTTTTAACCCAGCGAAGAGTACATCCATCTAGGCCATGAACCACCAGCTTCTCCAGGAGAATGCTGTGGGAGACTGTGTTGAAGGCTTTGCTGAAGTCCAGGTATACAACATCCACAGCCTTTCCCTCATCTACCAGGCGGGTCACCTGGTTGTAGAAGGAAATCAGGTTGGTCAGGCAAGACCTGCCTTTCATGAACCCATGTTGGCTGGGAAATCATAGGTCATAGCACTTCAGCTCTATTTTTCAGCTCTATTTTCTTGGTCATTTTCAGGAAAGAAATTAAAGGTAGGAGCAAAACAGTAGAACAACTGATTAAAGAGCACTCATCACATCCCAGACACTCCCCATCTCTTTAACTGCCTCAGAACAGCTACCTGAAGGACTCTATTATCTATTTGTCAATTGGGCAAACTAACCCACCAAATCATCCTTTTCTTGCTAAGTCATTGCTCATTATTCATGCTCACAAGAACTACACAGAACTCAAAGCTTAACATAAACTGAGGTATGATAAGCCAGAACAAAAAACCCTATGGCCTGGTTCATCCGTGTGCCTGAATTGCATACAGAAAAAACTCTTACGGCAGCGAGAGTATCAATGTCCAGTGTCTAGATATGTGCCCACATCTATCCTTCATTAAATCATTTTATACAGATATATTTATATGTAATTTATGTTCCTATGCTCGATATCATTCTTGTGGAATTTATATTTCCAGGTCCTTTGAGTCTTATGTCATTTATGCACTGGATTACTCTTCTGTTGTATTTATTTGTGTGAGAGGCCCAAATCACTTTACCATGTATTGTAAACATTTCAAATAAAATTATTGTTGAGAAGAGCTTAATTAGACAAAACCACAGATGGAGAATTTAAATTTCAATCTTCCCATTGATTATTGGCAACAATCAACAAGTAGTTGAAGGAGAACAAATGAAACAGTGGATTTCCAACTGGAATCATTCAGACAATTATATCCCATAATGGTTCCAGTAGAAGTGCATATTGTAGAAACCCATTATGCTACGTCAGACACCCTCTTCTATTACCAAATACTTTAAAACAGATACTGCCATCCTTGCTGAGTGTCACAGAAGCCGAGGACCACCCAGAGTATTCCATTGCTCTCCCAGGGAGGAATCCTGACACACATGCAAGCCGATGAGCCTGGTGTGTCTTCTCTACCTACACAAAAGAACTTTGGACTTCAGAGATAGCAATACCTTACCCTTCAGAAAGCACTGAAATTGGTTTTGAAACACAAAATGTAGCATCACCCTCACTAGACACAAAGTCGAAAACTGTAACACTGACTCTTATGGAGTAATACTGTGAAAGGCAAATAACATCATATTTATCATTATCTTTTAAAAAAAAGACTACCATTTCCATGGAATTATACCTAGTTTTACAGTTACAATGTAAAGGACAGAAGTTAATAGTATAAAAGGACTCCAACAGTAATTAGATGTAACATTGTGTAAACACATGTAAACAGCCACTGCCTCGCACTTAATAGTCAGACACAGGTGTTTGGAAAGAAAACCAAGGTATAAGTTAAGTTGCCTTTAAAAGAAAACTCTCCAAAATACTAGGTAAAGAATGAAAGCAAAGCAGTATTGTTAGAAGTGAAATTTGTAATCTCACTTTTTTCTTAGGTGGCTTTTCATTTGTTTAACTTTGATTTAGTTTGGCATTAAACAAGCTGTTACATAAAAAGGTTTCCTGAAACAGGAAGGTGTCAATTATTTTTTAGTCTTAACCTTTCAACAAATACCTGTTCTATTCTGACTCATTTTCTGTTTCTCTTAAGCTATATAAAAATATCATTTAACTTACTACTACAGCAAAACAAAGACATGTGTTTGATAAAAAAATATGCAAAAAACCCAAACTATTGACTTTTTACATTTATAAATAAAGGCAGATAAACTATCAAATTGTAACCCATCTTCCTTTTGTGTCCTAGAGCTGAAGTTTTGAGACATAAATGTCACCAAAAGCCCACAGAAAATGAACACAAGTATTTTAATTCTTTAGACAGGATCTTTTTTATCCTGTATTTTAAAAAATACAATAGAGCAATGCTTTTTACTGCACCTTTAATTGCATTTCTACTAGAATTATGGTGATATCACAATATACGTAACAGTAGAAGTATAAATCAATATACCACAATCATTAATAAAGTAGATGCAAAAAGTAAATACAACATAAGCCAAAGTGCTGAACTTAAGCAGCACGTGATACTTACTGGTTGTAAAACTTTGCTCCCAGTTGTTTAAAAGGTGCAAAAAGGTTGCAGTAATTTGGAAGAGAATTAGGGTCCGCTTAAAGTGTTGAACTAGATAATTGTCATGAGTTATAAATGAAAACATGTAAGCTAGTCAGACAATTTGATCATGCTGAACTTTAGTATTAATCCTCCAAGTACTTACTGCTGTGAGTTTAGAAATGCATTCTGCCAGGAAGCATTCTCTTGTGTTTAAGCCATAAAGTAATTGTGCTATTTAAAAGGCTTACAGCTAAGACAACTTGTTTAGAGCATCTTACTTTAAAACTATAAATACTAATGCCATGGCCTTAGGGCTCTACATTCTTAGTTAATTAACCACTAACATTTGTTGAATTTACATGCAGCTTTTAATTTATTTTGAACTTTATTAGAAAGCAAGTCTCTATTGCCTGGAGCTTTGTCTATAAAATTCCTTTGGTCCACATACTTCTATACACACCGACTGAGAAGGAATACAAAGGAAATAAAACAGCCAAAACATCTTTTATGAAAAACCATAGACCACTGATCTTTAAACAGATAATCAAAGTTGAAATGCACACAGATCAAATTACAAATCATCTTGTTTGTCAAAAAGCTGGGGGGTGTTATCCACAACAACATTAAATCTCACATCATGTGAGCTCAAAGCACAGAACTCCACAGGGAACGTGATAAACCAAGATCCAAATCCTGCACTTATATTGGGCAAGCAAGCCAGTAAGAATTTCCATCATGTATCACATACCTCAAATCACAGAGATCAATGTTGGATCTGTTCCTCAAACAACGTAACAACTTGGACAGTTAAGGTAAAGATCTGAAGATATCTTAAATCAGCACAGTACTGAGTAACACTAATGAACATCATCTCCTGAAGAATGGATAACTCATTTGGATGTCCAAGGCATGTGCAGACATTTCATTTTATTTAAATATTCATCTTTCAACATGAAGAGCACAAGTATTAGTAAGAATCAAAGACTCTTTACTCTTAAGCAAATCTGCAATTTGCTTGTTTATATTTTTCTAATACCTACCCTTCATTTATGTTAACAACTTATTAATGAAATGCACTTACGACACCTCTTTCTACCCATTACTACGCCAGAGAGGAACAAAGTTAGAATTCTATTTCCAGAAATAAAGCTTAAATGAAATTTTAATCACAGGAACTAATTGTGCCTCCA